TGTCTAAAAATTACTATTAAGCTCTTAATTCTTAAAGATCTTTCGTCCAACTCAGAGATCTTAATTTTGGGAAGGTCTTAATTGATAAAGTCAACTACTTTAAGCTTTTTTAAGGCTTAATAGAACCCAAAACTAAACCCTAAGTCCTTAACACTCTTAAACAACCTTAAACTATTGCATAAATGAAAAATAACATAAAAGACTCCATTTTTATGGCTCAAGATCCTCAGAAAAACATCATAAAGTAAATAACTTGAACTCTGGAGTAGCTTATACTTACAAGAACCAACCCTTGGGACCAAAATATGCCAAAACCCTAAGCTAATCTAGATCTAAGCAAAAGAGTCATAAAGGTTGAGACTTTATACATCAAGAAGGATGATCAAGATGAACACAATCTGGATCTACAAGCTATGGGCTCCAAGCACTCATTCCAAGATCTCCTTCTTCACTATAACACACCAAAAAATCACATAAAAGCTTGAGATTCTCACAAATGAAACTAGGGTTTCATGGAGGATGAGAGGGAGGGTGGTGGCTGATGACAAGAAGGGTTTCCAAGGATTTAAGGTCCTTAAATAGGGTCCAAGAACCTTAAATCAGGGTTTGCATTCACCATGAGTATGCCCTGCGTACTTTAGGTATGCCCAACGTACTCAAGAGAAATCTCGTGACCACGTTAATGAGCTACGCCTCGCGTAACTCTTGGTTACGCCCCATATATGACCCTCTTATAAAAAATTAAAATATACATATTAGCTTTAAAAGAATTTACCTGCGATCCGGGTGTTACAAGAAACATCTCGTGAACTAGAAAGATAAGACAAATTATGCTTTTATTAACGCAATGGTAGAACAACATGAGAAAGGAAATATGATTAATCGAAATTTTACTACAGAAGAATACACAAATATGGTTGAGGAGTTCGATAAGAAACTTAAAATGAATTCAACTAAAAATAATCTAAAGAATCGTTTGAAAAGTTTGAAAACTTCTTTTTCATAATGTTATGATATGTTTCGTGGAATTTCATTGACTGGGTTCGGTTGGAATGGTCAAACCCAACTAACTGAAGCAGACGATCAAGTGTGGGATCACTTAATTAAGGTTAATTTTCGTCTTATGTTGTATTTAGCTTTTTTTTATATTTATGTTATTATTTAAAATTTTAATTGTATTTGTTTTTTTAAACAGTCAAAGCCTGAAGCAGTTATATTGAAGGCTTCGATCAAATGTTGGTGTTATTTGCAAGAGATACAACATCGGGAGAACATGTTGAAACCACAAAGGAGAGAAATGCCCGATTGAACAAGATTGCGGACATCAAAATAGAAAGTATTGAAAATTTTGATGACTTATTGGCAAGTAATGATGCTACTTTGGAGATTATGAATGATGTCGGTGTTATTTGCGAGAGATAGAGCTTCGATATCTCCTACGTGTTTTTCACTTGAACAAAATTCAAGTGTGAAAAAGTGCAAAAGTAAAAAAAGAAAAACTCGTAGATGAAGTAGAAGATGAAGCGGAACCTGAACATGAAACTTTTGAAACAAAGATTATGAATGATGTTGGTGATGTGGCTAATGTTATGAGGGAAGGTAATAAATTTTTGAAAGAGCTTACCATCACAAGTTAACTAGTGATGAAATTTATCAAGAATCACAACCGATGGGTTTGGAACCCCATGAAATACCAGCTGCTCTCATGTATTTGGCTCGTAACCAAGTAGATGCGAGGATATTGTTTAGTTGTCCAGTAAACATATACATATAGAAGGATCTACTAAAAACAATGATGAGTGTAGGTAAATGAGTGAATTAGGACAATAAGTGTTGGTTTCTTGTTTCTTTAACTTTATATGGTTGATTTTTTTTCTTTTTTGGTTTCAAGAAATGAATTTTGGTTATAGAGTATTGGTTTGAATAAGTTATACTGTTTGGGACAATTTTTAAAGTTTGGTAAGTGTGAATGTCTCTTTTTTATGTGCTTGAGATTTTTAGTGGCAAAAATTTTGATATGTGATTGTCATCTCTTGTTTAATTAATCATTTTGATATATTTGTGTGTAACACAGTGTTTCGAATCGTTTCATAATTCGGGGTCGTGACCCGAAAATCAGTTATCATAAGGCTTCATGCCTTGGGGGAAAGAGAGATTTAGATCCATTCGGATGTGGGTAATGCAAATTAGGTGATCCGAGAGTTCGGTTGGTGCTTTGGAGCCCAAGGGTATAACCGTAAAATTATAGTTCGGGCCTTTTATGAATTTTGGATTTAAGTTCGGAAAATTTTAAGGAAAAAGAGAGTTGATAAGGTTGTAGAGCTTCTCATTACCTTTCTGTGGATATAAGGATCGTCGAAATCGGAGTTGCAACGAAGAAGTTATGAACGTTTGAAGTTAGGTCGGTTTTGGGGCTTAGTCTAGTACGCTGGGCGTACCTGGAGTACGTTGGGCGTACTAGACATACCTGGAGTACGCTGGGCGTACTTGGAGTACATTGGGCGTACGCTATTAGTGCCCAAACCCTATTTTCGTGGTTTGAGCCCTATTTAAGCTCCTTAACTTCCCCAAACCCATTCCATTCTCAGCCTCCACCTCTCCAACACCCTCCCTTGAAACCCTAACCCTAGTTTGAGCCTTGTGAGCAAAAACAAGGTGTTTTTAAGTGCTTTGGAGTGTTCTTGGTGCATCTTGGAGAAGAAGGAGCTCATTGGTGAAGTGTTGGTTGCATTGGAGCTTGTAGATCCAGACTTTGTTCACCTTGATCTTTCTTCTAGAGGTATAAAATTTGAATATTGATGATGCATTTGATAGATCTAGCTATTTTTGGGTATTATGAGCTTTTGGTCACTTTAGTGCATAAATTTTAGATCTTGAAAGTTTGTGACCTTGTTATGGATAAAGTTGAAAACTTTATCCATCTAAACATCATATTAATTCAGATTTAGAAGCTTAAGACTTGGACTTAATGGATTAAGTTGGAAAAGATGCACTTTTGGTCCCTTTGAGACTTAAAGACTAGATCTTGGTTGGTTAGACCATTCTAATGGATAAAGTTGGAAACTTTATCCATTATGGAGTTATTAGGAACCATAAAAATATCATCTTGATGGGTTTTGATGAACCATGCTTAAGTTGATGTTCATATTATGGGTTTAGATGGATAAAAACGGGTTTTGGGTCCCAGTAAGTCATGCAAAGGAGTAAAGTTGGCAACTTTATGGATTAAGACCTTATTTGGAGGTTAGATCTGAGTTTCGACGTTTTGGTCTTAAGCATTAAGTGCTTAATATGAAGTTTTGGTCATCTGATGAGTACGTTGGGCGTACGTATGCGTACGCTTAGCATAATGCATGAAGTCCTCGTCCTTGAGCTTTAGCAAGTTATACCTTGTGCTTCAGTGGGCCGTACGTGGGGCGTACGAGTTGGGTACATAGGGCGTACTCTCGAGGTTTTCTTTTGGGCCTTGGGTCTTTTGGAGTTTGGGCCATGGGTTATTGGATTAGATATGAGAAGGGTAAAATGGTCTTTTACCCATTGGAAGTATAGAATATGGTTTGGGACCTTGGATTTTGGGAAATTGTATTAAATTATTGATTTGGGATATTTTGGTTATGTTCAGTGTGAGGATTCCGGTAGCAGCAGCGCGTGTGTTCCGGTTATCTCGGATTGAGGTGAGTCTCCTCCTAGTGTTTAGCGGGTCGAAGGCACCAATGTCGGCCCATGATTTGTGGTTATTGGTTTGCTAGCTGTCTGTGTGACCTTGCATGTGTTATATGTATACCGGGCGGGGCCCGATGCCAGGCGGGGCCTGATGAGTGTGTTATAGTATGGTAACTGTCACTGTACTTGCGGTTCGAAGACACCAATGCCGACCCAATGGATTATGTTAGAGTATGTTAATTGTCTGTGACTCTTGCATGCCTTGTATGTGTTTATATGTATATCGAGCGGAGCCCAATGCCAGGCGGGGCCTGATGAGTGTATTGGGTGGGGCCCACCGCATGTTACTGACAAATCTGTTCCAGGCGGGGCTTGATGTATGTTTGATATGTATGGTATGAAGTATTTTGGGGAACTCACTAAGCTTTGTGCTTACAGTTTTATAGTTATGGTTTCAGGTACTTCCGGTTCGAAAGGGAAAAACCCGACTTGATCGTAGCGCATCCACCCATGTTTCCACACTTTGTGATTTTGAGATTGTACTTTGATATGCTTTTGAATGATCGAAAATGATAAATGGTGTTTAAGGTTGAATTAAAAATGAATTTTTTACCTTATAATTTTTGGGACGTTACATTGTGTCATACTTGTCGCAACAGACCAAAAAAATAAACTGTATTGTTGCAAACGTTGCAAATTGATGAGCAAATCAATTGGAAAAATGAGAAAATCATATGGTCTCATCATTGCAAATGATCAACTAGGAAAACTGAGATTTACACACGGGACAATGATGTGGCTTCTTAGCAGAGGCTCTGTAATTATTTTGTAGGACCAGGTTATTAGGATATAAAGACATACTTACAACAAGAATATTAATGAAAATAAGAAAAATATTTGTGCAGAAATATACTGGTGTGTTTTAATACCAATAATTCTAAAGTTGTAATTAAGGGTATAATTGTAATGTGTTAGTTTTGTTTTCCTTTCCTTTTAACCCGGGTACAAAAGAATTTTCTCTTTCTTTCTTTCGAACACGAAAACACAAAAATACAACTTTTCATGTTTCTTTCCTTTATTTAAACATCGGAGGATTAGACGTAAAAGATAACCAATTTTAAACCACACACCAAAATCCAATATTTTTGGAGCAAAACTCCCCCCAATTTATTTATTTATTATACTTTTGACAATACTAGAACCATTTTTGCATTTTTCTCTAAACATTAAAATAGACTTTAGTTGAAGCAAAATTCTTTTATTATTTTTTGTTTTCTTGTATAAACTTTTTAGTATAAAAAAGAAAAAGAAAAAAAAAAAGAAAGAGAAAAAAAAACCATTCGACTTCGAAAACCCTCATTTAAACTTCCTGCTTTATTTGAGTCGCTACGTTAATGGAAGCCTCGACGTCCATTCCATCTTCGGCGGTTAGGTCATGGAGGACGATCTTTTTGACATTGAGGGACGAAGTGCAGAACTCTCCAACTGGTTCTACTGTCGTTCAGCTCCTTAACAATCTAATTTTCTCCCAATCTGAAACCCTGATTGCCGCTATCCCCAATCTCCCTGTCCATGAGGTACGGAGCCGTTCTCTTTTATGTCGAAAGTCTCATTCGTCTGTTGTTCATACACACAAATGTATTTGGATTTTCAGGTCACCTCGGATGCGATGTTTCTTTTGGAATTGGTCGGGCCCATATCGAATTCCAGAGGGGATGAGGATACTCGTCATGCGTTGGTGCAGCTATCCAACCTGGTAACTCTTACTGTATAAATCTTTATGCCTAAATCATGTCCATGCGTGCTCTGTGTCTCATTATACTTGATATGTAACTCAAAGCTCAATGGGGGTAGACGAGTATGTTGACACAAGTGAAGTTTAGAAACCCCTTTCTTTTGAAATTTACAACCCTTTCACCCTCTCACTCTATTCCATAGGATTTGTACTAAGGTAAAAGCTTGTTGAGCCACAACTTAAGTTGAAACGTAATAAGGTTTGATGTTCTAGGCTTCTAGCAATTAAGTTGGGTGAAAGTATAAGTTTGTTCCTTGTTTCCGAGCTTAAAGTAGAGAGTGAAAGAGATTTTTGGGCATTTTCTTAGGTGAAATCAAGATTCCATATTCCATGAGTGTTTGGCAAAATGAAATCCGATGGAATGGGATTACAAATTTCATTTGACCTGATGGGATGAATTCTGATGGAATGGCATTCCTAGATGTTGTCTATGGAATGTTCAATTCCTTCTAAAATTCCATTAAAATTCATTATATGGGAAAAAAATACTCTTTATTATATTATTATCATTATGATATGATTACAATTATTATTTGATTTTTTTTAATTATTTTATAAATACTTATATCATGATTAATTTATAACACAATACATTTTTTTGTCATTATTTTTATGATTGCTATTACACTATTGCTATTGTTACATTCATATCTTTTTTTTTTTTTATATTCTTATTTATATTTTTACTTTTATTTATTTATTAACATTATAACTTCTATTAACATTATAGCTTTTCTATCAACCCAAAAAATCATAAGGGAGTTAAATTAAGGTTAGTTTGGATGTTTGTATTATTTACATATTAATTCCAAAGATATGTCTGTTACCAAACATTAAATCCAGGGATTGCCAACCAAATGCATGCACATTCCATTCAATTCCCTCACAATTCCAATTGTTTTGACAATTCCATTCCCTCATTATTTTTCTTGTGTCAGATTCATAGCTTCAGCCATCTCATTTCTTTCAAAGTGACATCATCAACATGGGGTCTTATACTTCACACCTTTGGAGGAATGGTGGAAATGTTTCTTGGCATAGCTGGAATAAAAAGAGATTCTTCAGATAATATTTCTGTCACTGAAGCCACCAAACACTGCTTAGAGACTGTTAGGTTTGTTTTTTTTGCCAAACATATTGTTTTCTTTTTCAAATTTATTTTATAGTTCTACTCATTTAAAACTTTCCAAGCTTCCAGGTCTCTTGTTGATGCTAATCAGAGAACAATTACACTATCAGACAATGTGCAACTGTTAAACTTTCTTCTCAAAATAGTTAGATTATCTCATAATATTCGAAAAAGCAGTCCATGGGAAATTCAGACAACTGTTTTTACAATGATGAGTGAAGTTTTTTCAAGAGTTGGGACTTCTTTACCAACTGACCATTGGCAATCAGCAGTTGATGTGAGCATTTTCTCTTGCATGATTAACAAGTTTTCATTCTTTTTACAGTGTTTTGTTAAAATTTATCTGTCTACTGTTTCAGGCTTTCAGAAATACTCTGGATGTATTGGCAAGTAAAGGTCCACTCATGGAAGGCAATGTAATGGATAGGTAGTCTTCTTTTGCTTCTCACTCAGGTAACTTATTATCTAGACAATCATACTGAACTTGATCAGTAAATGAATGTTGCAACTATTCTGCAGATTTTATACCTCACTCCTTCATTCCCTGCACTTGGTTCTAGTAAATGCAAAAGGATCCCTTCAAGACCATGTAACTTTTTCTCATTCTTGGACATAATTTTGTTATTGAAGATATTCTTTTTACCAATTACCAGTATATGTATTCTTACAGGTTGCTGGTTTTGTAGCTGCATTAAGAATGTTCTTTGGTTATGGTCTTACTAGTACGTCACAGATTGTCTACACAAAGGAAGTTAGGATGCCAAGCCTTAATTCTGAATCAGCTGGATCCAGTAGTGGGCCCTACAGGCCTCCACATGTGCGTAAACAGAGCCAAAAAGGGATGCAGTCAAAAGATTCCAAATTGGAGTTTTCACATGCAGCTTCTATAGGTTATATGTCATCTGATTCTGATTTTAGTGACAGTGATGGATCAGCTAAAGGTATTGGTAATTACCGAAGCTCTAAGATTAGAGTAGCTGCCATTGTTTGCATACAGGTCTGAGTGTATGCTACTTTTTTTTTTTGATACATATAAAAGTAAGCATGGTTATGTATTTAAAATGGGAAACATGTTTGATTTTGTGTGAAAGGATCTTTGTCGATCTGATCCAAAGTTATTTACTGCCCAATGGACAATACTTTTGCCCTCAAGTGATGTGCTTCAAGCAAGGTAAAAGACAATGTTTTTTTATTGTATTAATTTTGTATTTTTTATCATTCTAGTGTAAATGTGTAATATGTTTGACAGGAGGTATGAAGCAAACCTGATGACATGTTTGCTATATGATCCATATCTTAAGGTATTAATGTTGATTTTATACATTCATGGGATGCATTTAATATGTATGGATTTCAGGCACGTATTGCATCTGCATCTACTTTGGCAACCATGTTGGAGGGGCCCGCATCTGTTTTTCTTCAAGTAGCTGAATACAAGGAATCTACCAAGTTGGGATCTTTTACTGCTCTTTCCAGTTCACTTGGTCAGATTTTGATGCAACTTCACACCGGTATCTATCTGTTTTTTTCTTTCAACATGAGCATTTAATTAACTTCCCTTTAATCTGCTCACCTTTCATATTTTTTTTACTGTTCTTTAATGTCTTTAGGTATCCTGTATTTGATTAAACATGAAAAAAACAGTGGATTCCTAACCTCCTTGTTCAAGATTCTCACACTTTTGATCTCATGTACACCGTAAGAATTCTCATAATCATCATTACCTCAATGACACTCTCTTGTATTATAAGCTAATGATTACTGTATTCACATCATTATCAACAGATACTCAAGAATGCCTGATCAGTTGTTGCCTACTGTTATCTTGAATCTTCATGAAAGGATTGTTGAAGGCTTTCTTTCTCATAATGATCAAACCGGGCTGCTGGTCAGTCTTCTCATATCACATTTTCTGATTTTCTTCACTTATTTATTTATTTATTGTTATTTGTAGCAACTAATGCATATATGAACAAAATTATTGCAGGCTGTTGCTCTAAGTTGCTTAATGGATGCTTTATCTGTCTCACCTTCTTCACTCAAAGTGAATGAGATGTTTGTTATAGAAATATCTATAGGTCAGATATTACAACTCTCTCTCTCTCTCTCTCTCTCTCTCTCTCACACACACACACACACATTTTTACTAATAAGCATATCCCTTTTACAGGGCTTAAAATTGAGAAAACATCTTCTGGTCTTCTTTCTACTTTGTTTTATTATTCCCAACCATCTACAAGCCCAACAGTTAGCCTTGAAGCTCTCCAGGTGAATTGACTTCATATTCTCGTTCCCATTGTTATTTAAATTAAGCTGAATTACATAAATGGTCCCTAGTCTTTTGGTGAATTTTCACTTTGGACCCATGGACAATTCATGTGTTGCTTCATATTAAATGAAATTCTTACTAGCTTGCTGCAGGTTCTTAAAGCTGTGGCACACAATTACCCAAATTTAATGGTTCTATGCTGGAAACAAGTCTTCTCTATCATTTCTGAATTTTTGGATCCGATTCTTGAAGGCTCTTCAAGGGTAGGGGCAGTAAATTCCGGACACATTGTAGGGACAATTAGGGAAAAAGTTATAACCAATGCAATCAAGGTGAGATCTGTTTTCTACTTTCTCTCCTGGTTTCTTTCACATTACATATTGAAAAACCTTTTTTTTGTATCATCTGTGACAGCTACTGGATGAATGTCTGCGTGCTATATGTGGATTTAAAGGAACTGAAGATCTTTCTGATGATAAATTACTAAACAGTCCTTTTACATATGATTACATTAAAGTGAAAACAATATCATCTGCTCCATCATATGGATTGGAGAGCCAACCAGTGGCTAATGGTGATCATCCAGCTGGCAGTGAGCAGTGGTGTGAAGCCATTGAAAAGCAGTTATCATCAACTCTCTTTCATACTTCACCCATGGTTAGTTAATAGTTATCTCACTTTTCTTTTTCCATTTTTCTCTTTTAAATAAATAGATTATAATCAGATTTTCCCTTTTTTAGGCGAGGGCTGCTTCAATTACTTGTTTTGCAGGAATAACTTCAAGTGTTTTCTTTTCCCTTCCAGAGGACAAACAGGATCAGATCATCACTTATTCTGTAAGATTCTAAACACTGTTTTACTATAGAAATCAACATTACCATTTTCTTTATTACCCTATTAAAGATCCATTTCTTTTTTAAATTTATATTGTACACTTTTTAGATCAGTGCTGCTCTTGATGATGATGTTCCATCAGTAAGATCTGCTGCATGTCGTGCCATTGGTGTTATTTCATGTTTCCCACAAGCTTTTATGAGGTGCTTTGACTTTTATACTTTATGAGTTTCTATTTTTAAAGAAAAGTTTCTTTATTATTACCATATTAAATATCCATTTCTTTATCTAGTTTATAAGAGCCTTACAAATGTCTGAATTGTACAGTGTGGTGACCCTTTGCAAGTTTATCAATGCTGCTGAAGTCAATAGCAATCATCCATTAGTCTCGGTATTCATTCTTTCATTTTATATTTAAATCTTTTTCTTTAATTATATTTGATGTGTTTTTATCCTGTGAGCTAATTAATTTCATAAGTTATTGTTTATTAGGTTCGCATTGCAGCCTCCTGGGCTTTAGCTAATTTATGTGATTCTGTTCGCCACTGTATCGACAGATTTACCCCTTCAAGCTCTTCTGTAGGTGAGTACCAAACTTCCATTTGACCATTCTACCCCTATGCATTGTTCTTTATTCATAGATTCACTCGTCTTTGATGTGATAGAGTTAAAGGATTGCACCAAAATGGTGTCTCTGTTAATTGATTGTTCTTTACGGCTTACAAGAGATGGTGATAAGGTAAACTTGTGTAACCTCTCAAGATTTATTTATTCATGTAATTATTGTATTTTAAATTGATTTGATTTTATACTTATTAGATCAAAGCAAATGCTGTGAGAGCCCTTGGAAATCTTTCAAGATTTGTTCCATGTTCAACTCAAGATTTCCATATTTCTGTAGAAACTGAAAGATGTCTGACATCAACTTCATTTCTACAACTAATGTGGGAAGATTTCTCTTGGTTGGAAAGAATGGTGCATGCATTTCTTTCTTGTGTTACAACCGGAAACGTCAAGGTACACTTTCAAACCCCAAAAAATAACTTTTACGGTTTTACCCTTTTTAACTTTTTTTATTTTTTATTTAAAAAAAAAGGTACGGTGGAATGTTTGTCATGCATTGAGCAACTTATTTCTCAATGAGACATTAAAACTTGAAGATACAGATTGGGGTCCTTCAGTTTTCAGTATTCTTTTACTTCTTCTACGCGATTCATCCAATTTCAAAATCAGGATACAAGCTGCAGCTGCATTAGCTGCACCTTCAACTATACTTGGTGATTCATCCATCATATGCTTCATCTTTTCTTATTGAATCATTTTTTTAATTTTTTTTTTTTTGTTTCTGATTGTGTTTTGTGCAGATTATGGGAAGTCATATTCAGATGTTGTTCAAGGGGTGGAGCACACACTTGAGAATCTTGGTTCAGATCAGATGTTTGCTCCTTCAAGTTTCAAATACAGGGTTGCACTTGAGAAGCAGGTTGAGTTTTTTTAATCTTCTTTAATACTAATATCAATCCATTACAATGTTCATTTCATTCTATTTCTATCATACAAAACTAACACCAAGTTAATTCTTTGTTTGATTTTATTACACAGTTAACATCAACCATGCTGCATGTTCTTGGAGTTGCTTCAGGAACTTGTCATCACCCTGTTCATGATTTCCTTATAAAAGTAAGCTCAGCAGCTTATGCACATTTCATGATGTTTTTTTTATCAAAATGAATCAAAAATTGCTCCCTTTGATGTTGGTTTTATAAGTATGTGTTGATGTTATTTTTGTTTGTGTGTAGAAAGCGTTGTTTCTTGAGGAGTGGCTAAGGGGGTTATGTTCATCTGTTATGAATGAAGAATTTGAAGGTGAACATGATGTCACGTGGAACCAAAAGAAAGAGGTAATAAATAGAGCAATAGAGTCGCTTGTTAAGGTATATGAAGGCAGGAATCATCCAGTCATGGCAGAAAGATTTAAAATGTTGGTGGACAAACTACAGGAATGTCCTCTTCCAGAGATCTAACTATACTTGTTTTCTTATGTTTTTTGTTGTAAAATGTGCTTGAGTAGTGTTTGGCAGACTAGCTGTTAGTTGATAAAAAGTGATGTTTGAGAAACTAGCGATAAAGCTAGCATAGAAATGTAAAATGATAATCAGACATGTAGAATAATGATTCAGTATTACAAGGCAAGTATGTAGTATATTTCATTAAATTAAAGTACTAAATAACAGTAAGATTATTTATGGTTAAATGAAGTTTCTTGCATTCCATCATATGCCCAATATTATCACATCTCACTGCTTGACTTGAATATTATTTACATATTCAATGACGTATTGCACTCTTTTCTATCAACTCATTTAATATTTATTTTGTTGTAGACAAACTATTATTGCTATTTTTACGACTCATATTAACATCTAATAATATATACTCTAGTATAACATTGGAAAAAACTGACGAGCGCTATAAAAGTTGAAGCATAGATCAACTATAAAAAATGCTTGACGATTGTAAATTATATTTTAGAGTCAAGGGTGTCGATGAAAGATGGTGCAATACAAGAAGGTTGAGATATGGAGGGGGAGAAGTCCATTGATCGAAGAGAAAAAGGGGAAGAAGAGCCATTGGGTTGGCTATAGTGATTCAGGATACTCACAAAGAAGGGAACGAGGAGAATGCAGGATGCGGGAACACCGATTTGGGCTCTCAATATTGTTGTGCCACTTCTCCATACCGGGATGATACTGTGCACCTTTAATCTTTTAAAATATAAATAAAGAATAAATTATATTTTTATCCACAACGACAAATGAAGCAATATTGATGTGGGAATGATCGGGTGTACATTTGAGGAAATTTAATAAAAGCTCCATAAACTCGTTAAAATATGAGTGTGAGCATATTTTTTAAAGTTAGTTTTTAGCTTGTTAAACATAGTCTTTATACAAATCTCAATTCATGTGAACTGAGGTATAAAACCGGTCTTACTGAAGCTATTGAAATTTGGCCAAATACACTTCATAAAAAGCATAATACGGTGTACACCGGTCTGAGGGAAAATTGGTTGACATAATTTTTTGGGAGAGTGGTCGAAGGGAAATGTAAGAAGCATAGTTCGTCTTTTGAAATGTTTTTTTTTTTGGCCTACAGTTTAAAGATCAACATACAAAAGAGTACGCCGATAGAAAATCTTGCCACTTATTACATGAGTATTTATATAGTTCATGAAACATTATTATCTGTGGCGGTGATATAGGTGGGTGAAAACTTAGTTGGATCATATGGAAAAAGTCATGGCGAGGAAAGATGGTGGTGGGTTGGGGATCAGTAGCTTGTATGATTTTGTTAAAGCACTTGCGTTTGTCTCACAACATTAGCATATAACACCTTATAGTATTTCATTAATATAAAAAACTTGAAATTGTTGAAAGATTTGCACAATTTGTAAACAAAAACATATCATTTAACGACATATATAGAGGGAAATTCCAAATTTTTGGGTGTCTTCACTATATGAGATTATGGGTAATCTTGGTGGGGTTTCCTTATTCTTGTCGTAGTGGTTTCTTCAACATGGATGTTAGTACATGATAATATGTCCACCGTTTTGTCTTCCAAAATCTTGTTTTCCACATGGGTTAATCAAAGCATTTTTGTGTTCTCTTCATTGCATCATAACAATCTTTAAGCATCACGGACATTTACAACATTCATTCGTCAACATACACCACCTTCTTGTACTTAATGTTATGCCACTAAGAGAAACACAACATTTCGAAGATACAATACTAGTTTGGACCCTTAGTGCATCCCTAACCATTGATGTTAGGACTTTATATTGACCTAAATATTTTCTTTCTTGCCATTATTTTAATATATCGTATTTTTTGCAAATTCTTAGGCAATTACATCACAAATGTAGTCAGTTGCTTATAGATTGAAAGTTCATCTAAAGATGTTTAAACTCTCAAATGTTTTGATTTAGAAAAATCATTAACCATGAGGAACTTATATTCATTAAAAACAATTAGTTTGATGAGCTGGTGGCCCTAAAAAAGAAGGTTGTGATTGATGACTTGCATCTTGACTCGACTATTCAACATCAAATATATTTTACAATCGTTGGATATAAAGTTCAAAATTTGCTATATTTTCCTTTATTTCAATTTTATTTTGACCCAAAACTTGACCTCATACTCTTTGATTATATCTATAAAATTTACATATGAATTTAATACTGAAGTGAAAAGTTTTCCAAATATTATAGGGATGGGAAAGTCCATCCCTCCCACTCCTCCCAACCTACTTGTCACTCCACTGTTACATCAGTTTTTCATCTTATTTCCACCTCTCCAATCTCACAACACATGTGAACTGATATCTCTCATCCCTTCCAACCCATTCAATTTATTTATTTTTTAAATTAAATATTTACTAATTTAAAATTAACAAAATTAAAGCTAAAATTAAAAATAATATTTCATTAAAGAAAACATAAACTACTACAAATGATTAATAACATGATAACATGACAACACCACCACTATTTTTTGGGTCCATTTCTTCGCCTTCTGCTATTTGGTATAAGCATGTGCAGTCTCGACAACAATGGATTCAGAGGGGGTTATAACCTTTAGTGGCCATCTAATGATTCAAACTCAATAATATTTTTATTATTTCACAAATATCCGATCAAAACATGGATTTTTTATAGGATCAGCCGGCCCATTCATCGTTATTATAGCCCGCCCGGCCTGGACATACTGGTTTAAAAAAGTCCGTAAGGATCAGCCCATATGTACAAGTTCAGCCATACTAGGAATAGGAATGTAACATAATACCAAAAGGGGACAATCAATTCCATACTTCCATTCTTTGTAGGACCAAAGAAAGCTCCCGAATAAAAAGCCGAACCACCTCACGACAATGTGCCCCTGAAGGAGGGAGCAAACATCCATGAAGATCAGATAGACCCCAACAAGGCTAAAGCCTAAAAGCCTAAAAGGACCATGAAAGCAACCACACACCATCAACATTGAACGGCTACGAATGCAACAAATCCACTTGGTCCTTGCCAAACATATATCACAAAACCACAACTTCATACAAACATACATAATTAAGTACATGTTTATGCATTCTTTATTACAATAATAATCACACAGGAAAAACATAAAGCAAACCACAAACCATAACATATACACACCAGTTCCAAGGACATGAAACCATGTCCCATTTTATTACAAACACACGATAATCACATATGCAAATAACATAAAACACCACCTAACGCCGGAAGCTTCTGGCAGGACGTGGTTCCTCACCCTCACCCGCCTGAAGTTTGACCAACGTGTAGACTCCAGATCCGGCGAGTGCACCAAGTGTGGGTGCCAGTAAGTACACCCATATCACCTTGTAGTTCCCGGCTGCAACCGCTGGTCCCAGTGTCCTCACCGGATTCATTGAACCTCCACTCGAAGGCCTACCAAACCCATCATTATCAAACAACAATCTCAACATCTCATGCGTGTTTACTTTAACAATATTTAAATCAATAAAGCTTCTCAGATCTCACTTACCCAGCAACAAGAATGTTGAGCATAACAGTAGCTCCGACTGCAATCCCCGCCAGTTCTCCCACCTGAGAATATATAAATGTAAAAAAAACAAAGAAAGGTAGACGATAAATGGTTGGTTATAGTTATTTAATACTTACAGCGCGAGTGTCTGTGGCGACTGCTGTGACGACAAACAGGAGATTAAAGGTGATGAGAAACTCCAGGGCGAAAGCTTGGCCGGTGCTGACGGAAGGGACGGTGACGCCACCGGACATGAAGGGATGGAAGACGCCTTTGAGAGCAAAAGAAGCACATATGGAGGCCGAGACTTGTGCTAAGATGTACGCCGGGACCTGTGTCCATGGAAAGTGACGGAGTGCTGCAAATGCGATGGTCAGAGATGGGTTTAGATGGGCTCCGGAGATATGACCGGTGGACAGAATTATTATCATCACCGCCAGCCCTGCACATGCTGCATTCCCGATTAGTGTCTCCGATCCTGCGTATTTTTCGTTGACTATCGGTCCTGCTGTTGCGGCGAATATCAAGATAAATGTTCCCACGAATTCTGCTCCCAACTGCATACATGTATCCGATCACAACAAATCAAAATTTAGCAGATGATTAATCGTCTGTAAGAGATTAAAGATTAAAGAATGAGTGAGTGTTACCTTTCGTGTGAGAGAGACGTCGGGCGACGGGAAATCGGTGAAGCAGGTGTTAGATGCACCGCCGCCGCATGATGGGGCACAAAGAGGCATACACTTGCCATGGGGCATTGACTTTCGGTCATAAGACATGGAGTCTACTCGGAGAGACGTGAACAACGGAGCTCCGGGAGTTCCAGGTGTTGCCGGTGCTGATACCGGTGGCGTTGGCCCATCGCCGTTTTCCATTTCCGACACTTCTCTTCGCTCTTAAAAATCTATACTATTGACTAAATAGAATTTTTTTTTTGTTTTTTTTTTTTGGGTTTTCAACTAGGATCAAAAGATCAGTGGCAAAAACCTTACATAATTTGTAGATTTTTATAAAGGTATTGCTACACAATCGGCTGAATTCGATCCAGATCGAAACTAGATCTCTTTTTTTTCAATTTTTTTTTTCTTTTCAACAGAAGAACCCGATGGATTGCCTAAATTTACATACTTGGGAGATTTTTATAAATTTTGGATTAAGGAAGAAAGATTTTCAAGATAGCCAGACTGAACAACTTGACTAGATACAAGAAAGATACAGCTTCAAAACAAAAATCATAAATGTATACTTAAAATTTCTCTCTCTCTTTTTTTTTTTGGGAAATCGAAACGAAGTTACATGCTTACAGGGTTTTTATAAAGGTATGATCAAGGAAGAAGACGAAGAGGAAGTGGGCGATCCAGGTTGAACACGAACTGCTTATATATATAGTGAAATTCTTCTAATATTAAATAAGCAAAAAGCTGCAATCTGCTACCTGCTCACTCTCGAGGAATCTGAGGGGCGTCTTCACTCTTTAATTGTGTGTGAAGGTTTGAGAGTGTATGTGGGTCATGTATATAGTAAATGAAAATGAAAGAGCAAAAGAGAAGAGAACTAAAAGTCAACTCTTAGCCAATCAACTTAACAGCCTATCAGATTCAACTCCAAGACACGATG